ATCAGAGAATCGCGTAATATTTGTACATTTCTCAGTATTTCATACAATTTTTTTTTTTTTTTTTTTTGGTAATTTTATGAATTCAATTTTTAAAGCCAATAAATCTGTCGATCAGTTTTACGATGATTTATGTTCTTGAGAAATTGCAGATTGAATTTTTTCCGTAAATTATACATTTTTTTCCATAAATTATAAATTGCATCTCTAATGGATGTAGCTTTCTATAGTGGATAAGTTAAAATGGAGAGCTGTTGATATTTTTTATTCGCGAACTTTTTATTGTTAATTGAAATGGGGGATGAAGTGCGAGTGTAAAATCACGTTCTTGAAAAGCTGTTCAATTAACGGAGCTTATTGATTTTCTGCATTTTATGTAATGTAACGGTAATAAAGTCGTTTTGCTTTTTCCTTTTTTTCATTCAATTTCGTTCGATTGAATTTTCCGTCTTTAACGAGATTTATTCATACTTAGTGCGAGAAGAAATTAGTTCGTCGAAAGAAAAGAAAAAAATATGTGTTCGTTCGCGACGAACGCAGTCGAACGAATACGAAGTCTCTCTCCTCTAAAATAAATCTAAAATAACGAACATCGATGTGGAATAATACAAAAATAGCGTAGAAATAACTTTTTGAAATAACGAATAAACGAAAGATTATTGAAAATAACCGAATGGGCAAAATAAACGAGAAGCCCGGTGACTGGGTAAACAATTAAAGTCAAATGAATATTCATTTCGGATTTTACTTCGAAAGAAATTTTAATGTGTCATGTAATATGGCAAAAATGTTACAATATTGATCAACAATATCCATATTGATAATATTTAATATTTAATAACGTTTTTTAATATATGAATAACAATGACGAAACGAAGCTTGTTCTCTGTAAAGGAATTAATTGTAAATCATCGCAATATTTATTAAATTACACTTTTAATGATAATTTTTATTTTAATAATAATTCTTTTGAAAGGATGATAGTTTTTATTTTAATAATTGTTATTTTAATAACAATTCTCTTGAAAGGATGATAATCTTTATTTTAATAATTGTTATTTTAATAATAATCTTATTGAAAGGATGATAATTTTTATTTTAATAATAATTCTCTTGAAAGGATGATAATTTTTATTTTAATAATAATTCTCTTGAAAGGATGATAATTTTTATTTTAATAATTATTATTTTAATAACAATTCTCTTGAAAAAATGATAATTTTTATTTTAATAATAATTCTCTTGAAAGGATGATAATCTTTATTTTAATAATTGTTATTTTAATAACAATTCTCTTAAAAGGATGATAATCTTTATTTTAATAATAATTCTCTTGAAAGAATGATAATCTTTATTTTAATAATTGTTATTTTAATAACAATTCTCTTGAAAGGATGACAATCTTTATTTTAATAATTGTTACTTTAATAACAATTCTCTTGAAAGGATGACAATCTTTATTTTAATAATTGTTACTTTAATAACAATTCTCTTGAAAGGATGACAATCTTTATTTTAATAATTGTTACTTTAATAACAATTCTCTTGAAAGGATGACAATCTTTATTTTAATAATTGTTACTTTAATAACAATTCTCTTGAAAGGATGACAATCTTTATTTTAATAATTGTTACTTTAATAACAATTCTCTTGAAAGGATGAGTTGGGTCACCGCGAAGAGAAAAGGAAGAAAAGGGATATAGCTCCATTCGAGAAATAGCAAGTTAGCCAATTTCTCGTTCAGCTTTTACTGCGTCCTCTTGTTCCTTTTTCCAGAGCGATAAAAAAAGAAAAGCCGGCCAGCCGGTGAAACAGCCTCTCTCGATCCGTCGTCGATCAAAACGCATAAAATGTGGCACAGCACTGTCTTTGTTCCACGCACTCGAAGCCTTCACTCGTGCTTCGTCCAGGATGAGCCCTCGTCGCTTTTTCTGCCCATTCATCCGGCGTAATATTCATCGGCGAGAACGCTCGCACGAGTCGCGAAATAATCGAAACGAAGAAAAAAGAAAAAAACATACGAAACGCTGTAACTCTGTTTCAGTTGATTTTCTCTTTTAAGTCGTAAATCGTCAGCTGTCCGGTAACGTGATTCCTCATAATTCTCTCGTGCAAATTTTCGTCCTTCTGCAGAGAAAGATGACAACGTTGGTGAATGATGTATAATACGCAGGATTGTTATCAAAGATTTAGACAACGATCCTTCAGATATTCACGAGCAGTTTTTTATTCTTCTGTAAAAGATTGTAATCACCGTCAAATAACAATCTGCGCGAATCCATATTTTTATTTTTTACGGGGAGTTTTGCTGTAAAATTTTTATTTGATACACGAGAGAGCGATTGCAAAACGTGACTTATTGATTGACTGTAGTTATTCATTCGTGTTCGTATTTTTATAGTCGCTGCGAAGAAAAATCTCAAAACAGATACCATACTTTAAATGTTTTATATATTTTTATATATTGGTTTTATATACTCTATGCCTCTTTGAATTTTTCTGCAAAGATTTTAGTTCTCTGGTTTTCAAAAAATTCTCGAATACTCATAAACTCGTGGATTCTGTTACACACTCGTTCATCGAGTTAATAAATAAAATAAAATGCATGTAATAAAATAAAATAGACAAGATACATATAAAACAGATAAAAATAAAATAGATAAAATACATATAATAAAATACATATAAAATAGATAAAATACATATAATAAAATAAAATAGACAAAATACATATAATAAAATAAAATAAAATAAATTTTGAATAAATTTGGTTTCTCGAAGTTGAAATTTTGATGAAAGAGGATCAAGGATGGCGAAAAACTGCTACAAAATTCGAATATTCATGACAGTCGAATATTCATGACAGGCAACATTTCGAAAAAATGGAAAATTTCATGCTGAAAATATCGTTGTTAACAAATCGTTAAAAGCATCGAATATCGAATTTTTCGATAAATAACTTCACGTTAGATGTTTTTCACATTCTAAAAAATGGAAAAATTTTCAATCCACGGAGAAAATGTAATTGCTGTTCTTTTATTTGTATTTCAGTTTTATGAAATTTTGAATGTAAAAGCGACGTGTTGCAATAGCTAAATAGCGAGGTAACGCGGAAGCGTGTACTCGCGCGCGCGCGAGAGAGAGAAAGAGAGAGAATACCATGTTGTGAGAAAAAAAAAATTCCCGTCGAACAATTTTCGCGGCCGTTTCGCAGATCGACAAAGTAAAAATTTCGTAATAACTGTCAGATTGCTTGTTGTACTCGCATTATATTGAAATATCAAATAATCCGAGGGGGAGGGAAGACGCTGGAATGATAAACACGTTATTAAATCGCGGCGTGGGGGCTTTGATTAATTAATACGACGAAAAATATACCGCGGGATTACGCAGAGCCTTGCAGGCACGATAAGAATTTGCAGTGGCCGTGCAACGATATTATTATTTTAATTACACGATGAGACGCGGTCGCCTTTGTTTGCATTGAGTGCAGGACCACGGTAGGAAAAACGCGCGAGAGAAAGGGAGAGAAGTAATACTGCGTTTGAATTGCGCGAAAAATCAAATATCAAAAATTGCAGGGCGTGAGCGTGTGTACGAGAAATAAGAAAAAAGTTGCGACCGACATTTTGCAAAACACGCGTGAAAATGTTGAAACAACTCGACGATCGCCCTTTAACTGTGTAGCTCGAATAGAATGACAGATTTGCCAGAAAAAGGGGAAAAAAGAAGTGAACAAAAGTGCCGAATAAAGGACAGCGACATTTAAGTTGCACGATACTTTCGTAAAAAAAAAAAAAAAAAAATCATACGATTTGGCTTTCAAACCTGCTATTAAAAGGAATAAAAATGTTGCGCGAACTGTTATTTTGGCGAAGTTTATCAATTGGCACGTGCACTTACGCGGGGTGCCGCGGAGATAAAATAAATACTATAACAAGTATATATCTTCAGCGCTTTCTTTCCAAAGGGAAATAAAACATCTCCAATCAAATACGCTGTTCAAGGAATACCTGTGCGATGCACGTGGTAAAGAAACGAATCGATAATGGTAAATGGTACCCTCTTCCATATATTATGCATGTGGTAAAATAAATGATCTCGCGTGACTTCCGGTTCGATTGTAACCCGCAAGAACTCTTACACGAGTGGAAACAACGTTCACCGGGCTTAGCAGCACTGCAAAACGAAACGAATATGCATAAGAAACGAATTATTTATGCGGTATATTGAAATACTTATAACAGGCTGTTTTGCTTCAAGGTTGGAACGCATGTGTGTGTGTGTGTGTGTGTGTGTTTGTCATCCGTTTTCCCGGAAAATCAATGGCTTGATTGCGAGCAAAAGTTTGGTAGAGGGTTCAGTTTACTCGAGGAATTAGTTCTGTTTCGGTTTGCCGATAATTTAGAAGAACAAGGATCGAACTGTCGTCGAACGCCATATAAATATTCTAGACGCATAGCACTTGTTAAAAATCTGTCCAAAAATCCTAAGTCGATACACTCGGAGACTGAGCACTCGCTGGACTCGAAAGACGCTTGACGAAATCGCCAACGATGATAAAAATTAACAGAAAACTACCTTTCGAAGTCTCAAACGTGTCTTCCACATTAATCACTTGCGCTGGCAGCTGATTGCGGACCATAACGAGTGACCGAACCGTGTACAATACCGAATACGCTTTCTTTTTTTGAACTCGTCGGTATGACGTCACTGGACAGAGATCACTGAGTAATAAATTTATTATTTGTTTTGTTCATTTTGCTTTACTTAAATATACTTAAAACCGAGGTTAAAGCACAAACACCCCTTTTTTTTTTTTTACTGACATCTTAACACGACACGTAGAACATTTACCAGAAATCGTATACTTAACTGAACTGGATGCTACCTGTTCACCTCGAAACAATTGGCTGACTCGCCCAGAAACGAGCAGCAGAAAAAAGATCCAAAGAGGCCACGTTTCCAAATTATATATCTCTCTCTCTGTCTTTTGTTGCAGATCGCGAAAGCCTCAGTGCCAGAGCGTAGTCATGTAATTCAGTGGATCACGATAGCTCACACAGTGCTGTCTGATCTCTCCCCTGAGAGAGGAGCCCCGGTTTAGCCGAACGGCGCCTGTTGATAGAACGGGCCTGGTCTGACAGCTGAAGCTGATCGCGCCTCCAACCGCGAAGGATCGGGTGATGAGCTCAGGGCACCAGGCGACCGGCCCCGTCACAACATGTTGTTCCGCTCCAAGATTCGCATTCACACGTGTCAAGTGATACTGCTCACGTCGCTGGTATGGTTCCTGGTGGACGTGATGGTGCTGATGCTCTACTCGGACTGCATCGGCGGGTCAGGATGGGGTTGCACGGAGAACGGCAAACAGCAGCAGCAGCAGCAACAGCAACAGCAACAGCAACAACAACAGCAGCAGCAGATATTAACGGAAGAAAACGTGCCGCATTCGAAGGCAGCGTTGTCGAGGGAGGAGGAACAGATACAGTCGAGCGGCCATCAAAGTAGAAAACGGTACAAACGGTCGGAGCTGCATTTGTGGAGGCCGGCGAAGGTTCTCCGCGAGAATAAAGGGATGCCCGGCGAGATGGGCGCGGCAGTGCACATCTCGCCGGAAGACGAGGCCAGGCAGCAGGAGCTCTTCAAACTGAATCAGTTCAACCTGATGGCCAGCGATATGATCTCGTTGAACCGGTCGCTCAAGGATATTCGATTAGAGGGCTGCAAGGCCAAGAAGTACAATAAATATCTGCCGGATACCAGCATCGTCATAGTGTTCCACAACGAAGCGTGGAGCACGCTGTTGAGGACCGTTTGGTCGGTCATTAATCGGTCCCCGCGTACCCTGTTGAAGGAGATCATACTGGTGGACGATAAGAGCGAGCAAGGTGAGCCTGGAGGATGGTTCGCGGCGGAGGAACTTGGCTGGCCTGACCTCGGCAAGCGGTTTGAATAGATGGGCGTGCGGTTTTCAATGAGCTTGCCAGGCTCTGTGTGCTCTCGCGTGCTGCTGTGTTTCGATAGTATACGTCTACTCTTGGGTAAATTTGAGGTTGTTGGTCGGTTACTATCCAGTGGGTATGCTAGGAACTTCTTGGTTTGATCCATTTTGACGAAACGTGGGAAAATTGCGCGATTGTTCGTGTCGTTAAATTTTAAAGAATCAACTTCGGTTTGCTTAAATTTGTACAGATGTGACAGATTCTTCGGAATTTGTCAATTGTTCCAACACGTAAAAGATAAAGATACTCGATGAATTTTAACATTTTACATGTAATTTGGTTTCCTTTAATTTCCATAATACAGGTCGGTTCGTTGAAGTGTGTAGTATCTTTTGTAGTAACCACATATTGACCACTTATTTCCATCTTTTTCATGTTTCTCGAAAAATTTCCATTTCCAGTCAACAGTGTGTAACAGTAAAAATGCGGTGTTATGTAATATGTAAAGTATATACAAAACTTAATTATTGTTAAGTCAGCCAGTTCCTGCCGCAACAATGTATCGTTTCTGAAGGAACCATGATGGCGATTTGAATAATTTCACCTTTACATCTCCGTGCTTTTTTTCTTCTGTACTCACGCCGTACGCTTCGTAGATCACTTGAAACAAGACCTGGAGGATTATGTAAAAACGCTACCAGTCCCTACGTACGTGTACCGTACCGAGAAAAGATCCGGTCTAATCAGAGCCAGGCTACTGGGGGCGAAACACGTGAAAGGGCAAGTTATAACGTTCCTGGACGCTCATTGTGAATGCACAGAAGGTTGGCTGGAGCCTTTGCTGTCCCGGATCGCCGAAGATAGGACCACCGTTGTCTGTCCCATCATTGATGTGATTAGCGACGATACCTTTGAGTACATTCCAGCCAGCGACATGACATGGGGTGGTTTCAATTGGAAACTGAATTTTAGATGGTAAGGACTATTGACTTCGTGAACAAAGTTCTGTAGTATTAAACTAGTTAGAAGTTGAGGTTTCTCAATGGAACGGTTTCCCGATGGCTGCGATCGCGATAATTCGAATTTGCAAATTATTTCGCAGATCAGCTTTGAGCTTTAATCTGTTAATTTTGTTCAATTTGATTTTAATTTGATTGTTCGACTTTGCGCAACCAATATTTTTGTAATTTTACAGTAATTTTACAAAACCATCTTTTTATAGTAGAAAGTGTACTCCTTAAAATTATCAATTTTGTGTCTTCTAGATCTAGATAGCAACGTTATAAGATACTACACAGAGTCGAAATCTGATCATTAATAATAAAAATCTAACATTTCTTCTTTCTTTTATCTTTTATTTTATTTTATCTTTTATCATTTGATAGATTATTTTAGAATTGGTATCAATCATTCAAGTGCGCAATTATGTCAGTGTTAAATATTCATTCGCTAATGTGGATTTCCTTGAATTTTGTAGGTACAGAGTGGCGCAAAGAGAAATGGATAGGAGATTAGGGGATAGAACAGCCCCTCTGAGGACACCGACTATGGCCGGCGGTTTATTTTCTATTGATAAGGATTATTTTTACGAATTGGGGGCGTATGACGAGGGCATGGATATTTGGGGCGGTGAAAACCTCGAAATGAGCTTCCGGGTGAGTATTGATCGATGAATAGTATTTACTTCATGCGGTCAGACTAATTTAAATGAAAATGAAGTTACGAAACAGAGGCAAATAAAAATATATTGGACGCGGAATATGCTATTCAAATATTTTTAATACAGATCACGCCGGCTGAAAAAATTTCCAGAAGATTCTCCCGGAGGGAATATGTGATTGCCATATTTCTTTTTTTCCTTTTTTTTCAAAAAATGAAAAAGAATATTTCTGTATGAATTCTGTATGAATATATATATATATATATATATATATATATATATATATATAAAATTTGCTTTCACAGCTAATTGCTCGTTCTAATGCTGTTGGCTCCATGAAAAATGGCTCTTCTCTGTTATCTATCTGTAGTTGTTTCTGTTCAATTCTGTCGTAAAATTTTCATTCAATGATTAACACCAGAATTTTATGAAACTGAAAGTTCTAGCTTAAAAGTGATCGTCAATTTTGTATATTTACTACCAAAGTTCGACATTTTATCCGAAATGAATTCCTTTGGATCTGGATGAAACTTATACATTACTATACTCTCTCATTTCATAATTATTTATTAGAATAATTATTGCAAAAATATTCCAATTTCTTATTTATTTTCTGCGCGTGATAGGAATTTAATTATACTTGATTTATTTGAATTGATTTATCGGTTAATTAAATTAAATTCTTGTGCAAATAAAAGTCTCGTCCGCCGGGCAAATTTTACTCAATTGGATATTCATCTGTTACTTGCAAGTAAAATTTTGCCCTGCTCGATACGCACGTCAGACTTGTTTATCAAATAATCAAATGGTACATGTGTACGTTTAAGTTTGGAGATATAAAGGATTCAGCCGTGGATTACATTATCACCTTCATTTGTAAAGTCATAAGTACCTTGTAGGTATGGCAATGCGGTGGGACGTTAGAAATCAGTCCATGTTCACATGTTGGACATGTGTTCCGAGACAAGAGTCCGTATACATTCCCTGGTGGTGTCAGCAAAGTAGTTCTACACAATGCGGCTAGGGTGGCCGAAGTCTGGATGGATGAGTGGAGAGATTTTTACTATGCCATGAACCCAGGTTAGATAACAGCGTGTATCATTTCATTTGTATATTTTGTTTCTTTTTTTTCTCTTCTTTGTTCAAGTACCAACTAATAGACGATTAATAATGCTAGTTAATCGATAGTCCAGTGACCACCATCTTTATGTTTTAGAATCTTAATACTTATGTTATTTAGAAAAGTGGGCATTTGTTTTCTTGTAATTGTTTCAATTCCCAAAATTACCACGAGAAAAATAGAAAAGCTGAAAGCAAATATAAGTTTAACGTTTTCGCCAATGTAGTAAACTTAGCGTTACATGAAATACATTAGAACGTATAGTTTAACTAAAACGTAGGATTATGAGCATCTACGTACTACGACGGGTATCTGATACAACCATATGCTATAATATTATTGATGTAAAAACGATACATTATAGCACACTTTTTCATTTAGCTTGAGGGAAAAAAATTTGTCAGAGTATTGAGCTAGCGTGTTAAAAAGATCTCGTAAATATATAGCTAGTATGTAATTAAAACAATATTAACACCCATAACTGTATGTAGTTCATATTTGATTCTAAAATTAATCTTAAGTGTGTTTCATTAGTGTGATATTAACCAAATTATCTTTTTGCATCTGCCATCAAATTTTGTATTAACATAAATGTATATCGTAATTACCATTTTTCATCTGAATATATATATATATTTTTTTTTTCTTTGTGTATGTATGGGCGCGCGCGCGCGCACGCGTGTGTGTCAGAGAATATTCTGAATACCTTACATTTAGTTACATTTAGCCATGAAATTTGATTTGCAGGAATACAGTTGATTTGTTTATGCGTATTTCAAATATACTTTGGTATAGTCTTAACCACTCATCCATCCAGCCGACTAACAAAATAAGTTTGCTTGCTTCTATGTTTGATAAATTTTATACAAGGCAACGATATTATAGGTACCAAGAGAGGAGAACGCGAGCATCCCGTCTGATCTGAACCTTTTAATGTATTAGCTCTTTTTGTTTCTTGTTTGTTATAAACTATCTATTTGTAATTGCTAACATACTAACAGAACTGAGTTGGTTAGATATGGATGTGTGGTGGGACATTGGAGATCGCAACGTGCTCGCACGTCGGTCATGTATTCCGTAAGTCAACACCATATACATTCCCTGGTGGTACCAGCAAGATAGTGAACCACAACAATGCGCGACTCGCAGAGGTCTGGTTGGACCAATGGAAGTACTTCTATTACAACATTAATCCAGGTAGCACTAACACCAGCATTTCTGGAAAGAGAATAGACTGCAATACCGCTAACTTCATCTTTTCCATGTTTTCTTTTCTTTCTCGAGGAGCAGTTTACTCCTTCTCGCATGACTTTCTTTCCTATCGGGTAATTGGTACGCTTTTATAAGTTGCATATAACTACAAAGCTTAAATGCAGTTGGATATCAGCTACATGCGCATATATATCAGATACCCGTTAATATTAAGAAATTAATAAAAAAGTTTCTTTTCATTTTGTCTTTGAAGCAAAAAAAAAAAAAAAAGCTATGTGCAATAGATAGCTAGAATGAGGATTGTAATAGAAAACGAGAGACGTGGTAGAAAATAAAAGATTACTCTTGTTCAGTTGAAAGTTTCCTTTTATCTTAAACCTTATCTCCAAGGAGGTACAATAGCACAGTTATTTCCAACATATTTCCAGCAAGCATATAGCATCAGTACACCACACGTGGCAATGTCTTTATTTTGGCACATACTTTTGACACACACCCTTCTTTCAACGAACATTCATATGTACAAGCACACTATCGCATTCTAAAACCTCGGAGTACTGATCAATGTTATTCAATTGATTATTCTTTTTATAGGAGCTCGAAACGTAGATGTTGGAGATGTATCTGAGAGGATTAAACTAAGGGAACGTCTTAAGTGTAAAAGCTTTAGATGGTATTTGGAAAATATTTATCCAGAATCTCCTATGCCATTAGATTATTACTATTTGGGTGATGTACAAAATGTTGACACACAAACTTGTTTGGACACTATGGGTAGAAGAACAGGTGAAAATGTTGGAATTAGTTATTGTCATGGATTAGGTGGTAATCAGGTCAGTAACTGAAATGTTCTTTAAAATGATGAATTTTTCGGTATATTATTGAAATGTAATCTTTGATTTCATTCAGGTGTTTGCTTATACTAAACGACAGCAAATTATGTCTGATGATATGTGCCTTGATGCAGCTAGTCCCCAAGGTCCTGTTAAAATAGTACGATGTCATGGTATGGGTGGAAATCAAGCATGGGTTTATAACGAAGAGGTAATAAATTTAAATATAACTTATATGTATTATTTATACTTGGCAATATTAATAAAATATAACATTCATTTATAGACAAAGATGATTAAACATACCAATACAGGACATTGCTTATCAAAGCCTCGATCGAACGATGCAATGCAACCTGTATTAGCACCTTGTGATTCACAGAATATCGGCCAGAAATGGATAATGCGTAGTAAATTCCGATGGCAGGCCAGCTAATACGAGGTGTTTACAAGTGCAACATTTGTATGTAATACTTGTTGACCTATTTAAATGCTACATTGAAGGACTGATATTCAAGAGAAGATATTCCATATATTGAAAAAAAATCAAGGAAAGGAACACTAGTATTATACTCTGTAAAAACAATTCAGTATCACGTTTTGTCGATTTATTAAACCGTCGACGGGATTAATAGTGATAGTAAACAAGAAATTGACTACACCTTGAAACTGAGAGATTGAGGTTGATGCTTTTTAGTTATATAAGATTTATTTACTGTTACTAGCAGTATCGTGTATATACTGCCATTTTTCATGGTATGCCTTGATTGATGATGCACAAGAGTGTTGAAAGAAAAAAAGAATCTATTTCCAACTGTGTGTGAATGTACACAAGTGATACTAAGAAACACGTATGTGAACATTCTTCTTTTTTTTCTAGTAAACAGTAGAGAAGAAAGCATATCAGATCACTGTTATAAATAAATAATTGTTAATACGAAAAAGAGACATATTTGATAATATGGGATGAGTGCAATGCTGGATGACTGGAAGATATATCAGTGCATTGAAACACAAATATATTGATGGTATAAATGGCGCATTACTACAGAGAATGAATGATAGAATGCAAGTGATATGATTACGATTATGATTTAGAACTTATACTGTACAATTTTCTAGTAATTAGGGAAGAGCACTGAATCTTTTTATACTGATGTTTCTAACAGTTCCTTGTTGCATCTCGTTCATATAATTTAGTTGTTATCTTCTTTTTATTCGTTTAAAAAGATAAATGTACTTATATCTGAATTCGCCATAGCAATATGAGATTAACGAGATATCGTTTAAGAATAGAAAAAAAGGGGAAAAAAAACTATCGACTGTTATTCGCTGTATCGTTATACTTTAAATACTTTCTTAAATTCAAGACAAGATGTCTTCCGTATTTCCTTAATGAAAAAAAAAAAAAAATGCTAGATATTTTTATGATATTCCTAACACTTTACATAGTTATAATTCTTCATAGATTCGGACCCTTTTTATTTTCTGCACACTCGAAGCGTGCTGAAAATTTAGAGTGCAATATTCTTATCGAGTAAGACGCGACAGAAACACATTTCCTGTAACTAATGTAAAAATGTTGTTATCAGATTCTGGCGCCCTTCCCTTGCATTATCATAAGGTTGAACATCTTTCGTACTTCAAAAAGAGAGAAAAAGATAGTCAACAAAATAAAATAATGTTTCTGAGAAAAATGTTGACTAATAATTATACTTACATTCAAAGTTGTGGGAAGAAATTAACTGATTCTGTAACTTTAAACGCGCACGTGCGCGAAGAAACACATTAAACTACATTTATAATATATAAAATATATATGACACTAAAATTTCAATTTAGGAACTTTAACACTTCAAGGAATATACTCAATTTTAAGTTACATGAAAGAATGGTGATGGTGCAAAAATTATCGTGTGTTTACAGCTTAATTACATATTTAATTATTCGTGCAAGACGATAGTATTTATTTTTGTACAGGAGTTGATTTTTATTGAATCAGTATATTATTTGACTATGTGCTGTATTAGCAGAATTTGTAGATAATTTGTTAGTCATTTTAACTGATAAAATTTAGTTAAATTCAAGTAAGTGCACAAAATATAGGAAAAAAAAAAAAGAATAAAGTCAATAATAATTTGTAAACCAATTTCTAATCTTATAAATTATCCATTGCATCTTGGATTTATATGTATTATTTTATCATCTTTATTTTACTTCATCTTAGGCTAATGTTTAGAATTATTTATAAAAATTATATTATTAACAAAAATAATTGTAAGAATTACATTGGAACATTAAAGATTACTTATTGGCACAGACACACGAATTAATAAAATTTATTTTTAAGAAATTTTTTGTTACACAAGAATGTTTAAGCATATGTATATAAATACCATTTAAGTAAAAAGAAAAAAAAAACTACTTTTTCTATAATTCATAATAAAGTTAAACATTAAAATGAACATACCTTCAAAGACAATAAAGTATTCTATGTATGTTTCATTAAGTTCAAATAATATATATGTGCATAATATTTAATCCCAGTAACTAGTAATTTAATATGCTTTCTGAAACATTCCATACTTTAAGTATTAATCAATTTGGTCACACTAAAATATAACCCCTTTTTATAAAATAAAAAACAAAAAAGTTTGAGATATATTATTCGAATAGTGAAAATATGTATAATGAGTAAATCATAATTTTGATGTGCCTCCAAAGTAATTTCTAAATATTCTTTTTTTAACAGAAAGATAAGAAAAAAATAGGAATAAGAAAAGTTTTATCCTTCGTATTATTAAATATTGCTTCAAAACATTTAAGTCTTATGTATCATATGTTAAATTGTCACGAATCTATTAAATCTATCAGAAAATAATCTCTCGTTTCTTAATATTATTCCTTTACCAGAAAAATTCTAGTACAATTAACTAGCACTAGAATCAAGGGATAGAATAAAACAGACAAAATATTATTACGAAATATTTATTATATTTAATTACTGTTCTTTAACTTCGCGCAACCTCCTCACTGCAGACCTAACAGAGGCAGCAGCTGTTGTCGAATACACCCATGCACCTCCAGCAACAGTTCTTTTGCAGCGTTTGCAGGACCAGATACCTACAACGCTTCGTTTCATAGCATCCTGCAACAAAAAAGTAAAATAAAATTTATAAATTTACAATCTTTACCTACTTCACGTTGTTGATTTAGTAAATAAGGTAATAAAATTTATTTCTCACCTTGCCACAGAACGTGCAGGTGTATTTGCTGTGCTGCGTAATTTCCATCTTTTTGACCATCTTCCTGAGGGAGGCACCATATCGGGTACCATATTTACCAGTGATTCCAACCTTCTTTGTACGTTTCGCCTAATAAATGAATATGAAAATATTTCATAAATTAAATATTCTTACCACTAGTAGCCTGAAATGTATTTATAGAATACAATAATCAAGAGATAAAATAATAAATAAGATATTAAATTTAATAAGATATTAAAATATCGCTGAAAATGTTTACGAGAAACACTTGCTTGACAGAACTATATAGGTTAGCTAAGAGTAATTGTCTTTAAAATACTATCTTAATTTCTCCAAATAATTTTTTTTTGCAAAACTAATTAAATGTATCGCATTCTTTTGTTTCTACTCGTAATTAAAAATTTCCTGCGATTCGACAATAAAAGAACCGATTCAACTGTAAATACAAACATAACCTCAAGTTACCATTTCTACAAAACTTATCTATAATGAACAAACACAAAATACATATATAAATATTTTGTCGATGACATTTTTTAATACGATACGATCAATTTCAGCTGTACTTCGACGGGATTGATGAAATATTTCTAAATAACGATCCTTACCATTTTGCACAAATATACAGCACGTACGGAACGAACCGGAAAAGAGAAGAGCCCTTGAAGCCTGATACTCACTGCGCGCCGCAATCACCGGAAGTCGAAGCGCGACGGCACGTCCACGAGTGGCGCGAATTCAAATCGCACGTTACTGAAAATAAACGAACGCGTTCTCGCACGTCCGCGAATTTCTAAATAAACATCCGCGAACTTCTAAACTTTCGCGCAAGTTACTACGATTGTTTTCACCGTTTCTGAGAAATACTCCGTGTTCATCATCGAAAACTGTATTCGAGCGAAAGATCGTCTGGCGCGAGAGCGTGTGTGTCCGTGCACGGCGACGCGGATGTGCGATTTCACGCGTAATGAAAAAAACTTTCACGGACGGACAGCCGGGCAGCTGACCCCGATACCGCGATGCCCCGTTACACCTCGACGAGCAGTACACATCGGCGTAAGGAGTACATTGCGGCAAGAGTCGCGACAGCGGGTGAAAAAGGATTCGGTCGTGCGTGAGTACGCGCATGAGAACGCTCGGAAACCGGCCTGAAATGACGTAGCCAGTGGATCCCAGACCAGCCAGGCCCGTGAGTGTTAAATCAGTGTTGCTCACCGTCGGCGATCTGCGGACCAACGAACAGCCTATAGTGATTCACTGATCGCTTATCACTCCGCGAAACCGCTAGCCGTGGCACACCAATTGAGAAGCAGCCAGCCAGCAGTGCAGAGAGTGTCAATTGGTAACGAGAGCACCCGGCTAACGATGGTTGTTAAAATCTACATATCGGGCATTAGCGGCAACAAGGAAGTGAGTGAAGAAAGAACGTGGCTACGAAGGGAATATATAAAGATATATATTTTATCCCCGATGAAAAGAGAGGGAGGGTGTGTGTGCGTGTTGCATGCGTGGACGACCCGCTCTGCTTGTATGCGCGTGCGACGTTCGAGGAGAATGCCAGATTTACCGGGCACCTGAATTCTTGTTCGATATTGTCAACGTTCGGATCGAATTACAACGGGGGGAAGCTTCACGGTCGAGGCTGTCGATTAACGATCGACGGTGTCATCGGAGATCCTTATCGACGGTGTCGAGCGGAGATCCTTATCGGACACACACCACCACACACGGTGTTATCGATCGAAATGATTCATGCGTGCGTGCATATGCATACGCGTCCAACGAAATGCGTTGGCTGCGTATTTCGCGTTAAACGAACTCGTGCGTATGTTTGGGTCTGTTTAGCAAAACAAGCTAAAGGGAGTCTCGAGTGTATCTTGCAATTTCGCGTGAAACAGAGCGTGAAATGTACATACACGACGGAGACGCACAGAACACCGAGGATTATGTGTTCTTGAAATATATGATCGCTGGTTTTGGTAATCTTTCGATTAACACTCGGATTATCAAAGTGGTCGAAATAGCCGAAATAGTAATTGCTCGCGGAAATTCTTTGGACTTGCAACGACGCGGATTGCACGAATAAAGACTTGTCTTTTTCTGAATATTTATTATTTCAATTTCTTACTTCACTTATATTTTATTCGAATTAAAATCTTTCATCGATGTTTATGTTTTTCAATGAGAACTCGTAATAGCGATATCTCGTGCGTTTTTATTTTTTTTATTTTTTGCTCGATTTTTACGTGTTCGATTCGTATACGTATTTTTCAACACCGTTTCAAACACCGTTAGGCTTGGCGTTAATAATCACTGATAACATCGTAACGGCATTACGTTTCGTTCGAATCGATAGGTTACTTCATATTGCACCAGAGTGTGAAACAGTTTAAATTTCATTATCGACTTTCGAAACTTGGTCTTTCATTAATGGACTACGAGTGTTTACGTATTTGTGAGAAACTTAAAAACGCGTGAAAATGTACGCGTCGCTCAACGAATAATCTGAAAATATAGAAAATATTCGAGCAACATTTAGCAATGTAAAACAAATTTCTGTTTAAGCCTCATTTTCTCATCTATGTTTGCAAGGATTTACATAAACATCCGCAATCTGCTTGTTAATAATGTATTAATTTTAAATTGCAGACAAGACAATACAAGCTTTACGTCTGATTGAACTGTTTTAGGTGAAGAAAAGGCAACAACGAGTGTTGATGATATTGGATAGCAAAAATGTAGAATACGAAACAATAGATATAACAGAACCAGGAAAGGAAATGGAAAAGGAGTTTATGCAATCAAATGGTATTGCGAGAGATGATAGTAAATATCCATTACCTCCACAAATATTTAATGAAGATGAATATTGTGGGGTAAATGTTGCTGCATCAATCCTGACAATCTATAATTTCAATTGTGATTAAAAAAAATAACTAAAGAAAATGTAACTTTGAATGTTGCTAACAGTTTAAATTCTAAAATTTCAACTGAATTCTCTAATGTTAAATGTTATGCTTGAGCTACAAACGCTTATAATGAATCACTCCGCAGGATTATGAAGATTTTGATCTGGCAAACGAAATAGATGAATTGGAAGAATTTTTGAAAGTGACACCAGCTTCTAATGCAAAGGAAAATATTCCTGACTTGAATGAAACTAAGGAAATTCAAGAGAATGGAAATACTACAAGTCGGGAGGTAAATGTTGTTAATAATTAAATCCTGTCTGATAATTGCAAGGAAAATGTTAAATGTATCCATTCGTGTCATTTAATTTATATGTCTTTATAACATTACTTAAGAACTTGATTTGTAATCATCTCGGTTATGTTGATTTTCCGGTGTTTTGTCCTTGGCACTAAATTTGTCCACACTAACTACCACATGTTTATTTTAGCCCTCCACAGACAAAGAAACAGCTGCAGTACAGGCAGAAAGGTAAGCACTATAGATACATTGATTGCATAATTCTGTGATCAGTCATTTAAATTGGTAATATATATAATCATTTTAATCGCTATAACTATAACTACATGTAACTGAAAATATTTGTTTTTATTCCTGCCTAACAAATTGTTTTAAAAATAAAAATGTCTCATTATAGTATACTTTTAATTGAATCTTTTCTTTGTTACCTTAGTGTTGAAGAAAGGACAGCTTTACCAAGTGAAAATGTACAGTCAGATGAACCAAAATCTATAGAAAATGATGGTGAAACAAAACCTGAAGAAGAAACTACCGAACATACGGGAGAAAATGTAGAAAAAAATGAAGAAAAATCTGGTGATCAAGAGAAAGAAGAGTAGATACGAAATAAACCCATATGATTGTGGGATATTTAATATTTCTTTGACATCCTTGGTTTTCCACCGATAAGGGTATTTTATAAAAGTTATATTTATCACATTTCTAAGGCTGAGTGAAGGTACTGCCAAAATAATATTTCTGCTTCCTGCAGAGAGTATATGGAACAGTATAAATGAGGCATAAGCGATACTTTTATAGAAATATTTTATATTTGAAATTAAGCCTGTTTTCACCATCAGATTTTTGATAGGTCTGACTAGAAGATAATGAATTTTATCCTTTTTCATATCAGTAGATAATATAAATTTTTTAATTTCTTATGCTGATATTTTACATTGTTTATAATGTATTTTATTCTTTATTTTTAAACAAAGCTCCTATAATGTGCTAGGAGTAATAAATTTTCAGTATTGAGAACGCTTGTTTGTCCTGTTACTCGCTAAAACTACAATAATGAATTTTAGATAGATATATTCTGCATTGAAATTTATTTTTGTTTCAAATTTCTTATTTAATCATCGTTTTATAATTACATTAAATTGTTTTTAGAAGTTTATTAAGTGTCCTTGTATATTTATCAGTGGTCCAAGCTATAAATGTAGATTTACTATTTGTATTGAAGAACAGCTTCCATTTATAATGATTTGATCTGAAATTGTATTGACATCATCTGATTGGTTTTATACAAGATTTCTAAGAGTATAATTTCTTATTGTATAATAAGTTCGGACAGTACAACACTCAGTTTCATATAAAATGCAATTCTTATAAAAGACGACACAAAATTAGTTATAATAAGTTGTACCAATATCGTACGCACTAACGATTCTTTATGGTCATATACTTCTAAAAAAACGTTAGGCTTAATGTAGGACAAATTTTTTAATTCCACGTGATATATCTAACAGATTTGCTTAATTTGTTATAATTATATTTATAATCTAATTCATATAGATATTCCATAATTGACAACAGGAATAGAGTAACTTATAGCTATATGATTTATTTTTCTCATGCTGAAAATATTTACTTACGAGATAAACAAATGAGTGAAATACGAAGAAGTTTAAACCCTTTTATTGAAGGCCTATTCATGACTCTTTCCATAAAAAATTAATATCAGTTACATATATTTAATTATAATAACTTGACATAGTTTGTCTTGCGATATACTCATTTATTGGTCAGATAATACACGGGTATTAATCACGAACAAATTCAAAGCTTTACGCAAATGTTATGAACTGTTTTATTATAAAATGGCAGAAGATATAAAGTACCAAGTTCATTACACTATATTTATGCACGAGATAAAAAGCCTGACTAATTTTAATACAGCGTATCGCAGCTTTTGGATATTAAACATATGCTATTAAAATCAGATTAAGAGAAAAACTCATGGTAATCGAGATGTCCACCTCGTTCTTATTAGAGAATGATATATTCACAAGCAATAGGTGTTGGACGTGAACATCACACTGAATAAATTTTAACATTATATATTGGAAATATATATTTACAAGATCAATATTCATTATACATAATATATAAATAATATATATAAATCACGCCAATCACTGTTACATACATATAAAAATTTACTAATAAATATCATGATAGAGAAGTTTAAAAATTTGTGTAATAATTCTATACATAAAGTTTTATCATCTGTATCACATATTCTATACATCTGTTACTAACATTAACACTTGCAGGCGTCTAATTAAATTTATACACTCCATGAATGCTTTTTGGTAAGTAAATTATTTTTAGTTTATAGAATCTTATGTTTCTTCCTTTAATAAATAACAAACTAGTACATTTTATAATCTTATACATCAATTTCCTATACAAAAACATACTTAATATTGCATTAATATACATGCTCTTGTATACATACGTATATGTTATTACTTTAATTTTAAAAGGTAAATATTTGTTTTCCAATATTAACAATGAATAAACGGCTAGCATTAACATCAATAAATATAAAAATAAAACATTTACAATATCAAGTATCTTTGATTATCACATTAAAGATCATTTAAGTTTGATATATAAATTAGTTATTTTTATGTAATAAATTAACTACAGAAATATGACCATTAAAAATATATTTTTTAGTTTTCAAATAGTTATTGTCAGTTGAAATTTGTTAAAAAATGAAATTAAACTCTAACATCTGCATAACGTGAGTATGTGTTTGTAACACAAATTCTTCAAATATCTTTTCCTTGTATGTTCGTAGTCTCCCCTACGATGAAACGAGAACATCCTGAAAACAATAATTGTCAACGTGTTTTTGAAGTATTTATGTAGATTATCGACGAATTCTCTAAAATTAATAAAATTTTATACACATAAATTATTGAAAAATACGTGAAAAATAGTAATACTTAAATGAGATTAAAATTTTTCAACAAAATCAAATTCATTTTAAATATTTAACAATACAAAGAATAACTTCTACTATAGAAAGATATAATTTTGTTTGAAATAAAAGGCAATATACCTTAAAATGTTTGTTTCTAAAATAATAATAAAGAAATAATGTCGTATAACATCTTTATATTTACAAACGAATAATAAAATAAATCAAGTTTCGTTTTTATAAATTTCTATTTATTTTAAATTGCGTGTGTTAGGTAAGTAGTACTTGCTGTGAAATTTTATTCATACTTTTCAAGGTATACATGTTGTACAATATACTCACTAATATAAATTTATTGCGAATGCAAATATGTACTACTATTAAATGTTGAAAATTACTCTGTGGTAACTTACAGTATAACAAGTGTACAAGTATTGTTCGTAATAACAGACATCTGTGTACACTCAAATGATATAATATAATGCACATATGGTTCTGGAAATCACAGTTCTAGATACTGTAATGCAGCTCTTTTTATAGGCACATTGCAAGGTAAATTGTTTTTTGAAGGATTTCATAGTTTAAATTTTGTTTTATAATAAAAAAAGAAAAAGAGCAAGAGAAATTAATGAGAATAAAATCAATAAAGAAATGATATAAAACATAATATATAACAATTATACTTAAAAAAAAAAGAAAATTATTACATGTAAAAGCTGCATCATCAATTCTAGATACCATTCGACAGTTACATAAAAAATCTGATTAATATAAGTAGTAATAAGCTTTATAAATTTTCATTTTTTAACATTTTTCATAGTTTGAAAATTTGTATATGTACTTTAATAACACACAATAACTGTAAAAATGATTTTCCACTTTGTAACAAATGATTTTAGTTTTGTATATGTAACTATTTGTAAAAAATGAAATCATGTATATTAGTACGGTACGTAACACTGTCACACATCATTTCGATGTATATCTTTAATAACTTATGTTTAATTCTATGTTGGATATTATGTTAATATTTGTACTTATTCACACACTATTAGTATGCAAAACAGAATTAGATTCAACAATTGATAATATAATTAGAATTAAGATAAACTTGAAATACGATGATTACTAATGCCACACATATTGTTGATGTAAAGTATGATATTTCGTTATGCAGATATTAAATATTCTCATGTTATTAATTCATTATAATGATCCGTGTGTTTACAATAAATTATACATCTAACTCAATAGACAATATGATTTATATATAAATTGGAGAACAAAATGTTTAAATTCCAATAAACTGATGCTCCAACATTGCATTCTGTTTTCAAAATAAGCAAATTATTCCTTAATAGTGCTAAATAATATTAATTAAATACATTTTTCAATACTATTAAATTCATGTACTAAAAAACAAAGTACCTCGAACATTTTTTTAATTTATTAATTATATAAATGTTTTAACGAAAAATTTACCTTAAGGTAATTACCTGTACTTATAGTATGAATGCTAAATTATTATGCAAACTGTATTTATAATTATTAAGTAAAAATTGTGCTTTACCATTCAGATAATGAAGTATTCTGCATTGTTTTATATTCTTTTGTCACAACTGTATGAAACTACTGGAAATTGTCAAATAATTGTTATATATAACATTTTTATTCTTATAATTAGTATTATAAATCAATGTTATATTTAAAAACTTTAAGTTACTATTTATAGCAACATGAAAAAATCTTACAAAATTAATATTCTTTAAAATAATATTTAAATAGGTTTGTAACAAAATCTTGTTTTGTTTATAAAAATTTATAAAAGTCACAAAGTCATATATATATATATATATATATTTTAGCAGAAATAAAATATCAAACCAAAAGGATATTTAAAATTTAACTTTTTTGTTGCTATTAAAATTGTAACAATCATTTTTTTACTGATATTCATTATTACATCTCTCGCAATAAATAAGGTATATTTTACTACAGGAATACTTGTTTTGTTGAAATTCATATTTCATAGTACACATTGCAAAAAATAGAAAAAAGATAGTAATTGCAATATTATGCCGAAAAATCAATCAATTTATGAATGATTGATTTACTTTAGACAAATAATAATAAAATATATTACTTACAGTTATACATTAAGAGCAGAAAATCAATCTACAGAAGGCTTATATAATTTCTTAAATAGTTTTTAAAGTACTTTGAGTGCATGAAAATAATACATATACGTACATATTTATATACTCAAACAATACATTTATATTTACATATTCACTCAGGAATTAATTGAAAAATAAATATAAAGCTTTCTTTTTCTATTATTTTTTCATTATTTGAAAATCATGGATATTAACAGTAATTCGCAAATTGAAAAGCATATGTTAAAAATATCTCTAAAATACTACAACCATAAAAATCTATTTTTATGCATTCTGTAATATTATAAAAATAAGTTTGTAAAACTTACAAAGATAAATGCTTTTACGAAATCTTAGATAATGACATAATACAGTATTGATAAAGCTACACAAATTCTCAATATTTTTCCTTTCCATATGTAACTTGTATTAATTCTTATTCCAATATATAAATTTTTATATATATGTAATTTAAACATAATAAAAAATATTAATACTGAAATGAAATAATGAAATCGAAGCATATAACTGTTCTTTTTATAATCTTGAACTACTGCAATAATTAACTTAAATATTATGCAAAATTATGCTTGTGCAATTTTTGACAATTATATGTAACTTCTTTTGTATTTGTATTAAAAATTATGTTTCAAACATGATTAATGAATTTTCACATTTTCTTTATGTACAAATATTTCAATAAGAAAATGTGAACTAGATAATTTAACTATAAATTTCTTATAATTGTATTATAATATATTGTATGATAATTGTATTATGATATAACTCACAGTGTTCACTATTCAGATTACTTCCCTCATACTAAATCAAAAATAACTTATAGAAGTTAGCAATGGCAATGCTAGAAACAGAATATCATTATATCAATTCTTCTTTGCTGTAGCATTTCATTTTTTAAATTGTATTATGCTCTAAACAAATATGTTACCTTCTGCATTTGATTTTCTATCAGTTTATTTATCTATTGTAAGTACTAGCTTATGATATATGATGCTAATAAAATGTAATTAATCCGTACCAAAATATTTTTGTCCAAAATGATTTGGGGCAATGCTATGAATCTCTGATGTTAAAATCTTCATCTGTAAAAAGACAATTCAGTTTCATTTAAACAATTAAGATAAAAAATTTTTAATTTCAAAATAACAATTAATAAAAAATACTTGAAGAATAATTTGTTATCTTGAAAACTAACAAAATATTAATGTTTTAATACATTTGTTATCAAATTCAATGAAACAATTTTATAATCTATACACAAAAGACAATATATTATAATATACTGTTACATTCAAGGAAGCAAATACACACCTGAGGGAAGGCAGTGACTAGAGATTTGGCTGCAATTGGTGTACAAAATAAATTTGATAAAATGATATTCTCTTCAAGTACATTGTGCTCTTTTAGGACAGCAATCGCTTTTATCACAGTATTCCCAGTACCTTTCATTTAAAATAAATCATTGATCATACAATATAGTATATATAAAAGTTTAAATGATATATTTAAAGCTGTTATACTTACTCATTATTGGATACATAAGTAAAACTTTTCTTTCAGATATGTCATCTGGAAACTTTGCATAAACTACTTTGGCTTCATGTGTGTCTGCATCACTTTCAACTAATATTTTTCCAATCCTTATGCTACGACAACAGTCTCTTAAACCCTAAAAACACATTGTTAATATCACTTCTCTCAATTACTAGAATTTGCTATACCTGTTCCATGGCTTCTCCACTTCTTACTATAGAGACCCCACAATTTCCTTTCTGATACTTCAAACCATTATATTTGGCACCAGTTGGTGTGGTTACCACACATTTGGAAAAAGGTAATTGATTTAAACTTTCTTCTATAACTAGCCTTATCTAAAAACATTTAATTTACCATGTGATTCAGTTTCATTATAAATGCTTAAATTATAAAATATAAGCATAAAAATATTTCTTTGGTATAATTTTACATTATACTTGTAATGAATCTTAAAAAAAAAATGTTAAATAATAAATGTAAAGAAAAATGAATTAAAACTTAAAGTGAAGTGAATAAGAGATAAATTAACAAGCAACAAATAAAAATAACACATATTTCGAGTGTTTTGACCTAAAATATGGAAACATAAGGCAATGTGACAGAATGACTGCGATCGATGAAATGATTTACTTGCTAAGATAGAACTGACATTATCAAATTTCTGCTCGTTAATAAACGTGTGTTTCATTCACAATGCATGTGCCTTCGATCACAACTCCCTCGAACGAATAAATATCGCTTCAAAGGCACGTGACAACACGTCGAAGTTTATAATTAAAATAAAAAAAAAAAATAAATCTCACCAGGCGGTCTGCATAGAACTTGAAGTCACTCCTCGTGGTGTTTCTGTAAACGGATATGCATCGTGTCCATTAAATTGTTTAATTGCAGACAAACGACACAATATGCCGGCATGATGCCGGCATCTTATTGCTAAAAAAAAATACTTATATACGTCGATACACGAATAATTGTCGCTGTCGGTTTACTTACTTGTCCCGTAATATAGTCTGCAGCTCTTTCACCTGATTATTACACGGAAGGATTTTTAAGTTTGGCCCGTAAGCGTCGGCGATATCGTTGTTCTCGCTCGACTTCTTTGGAACCGACGTTACCTCCGTGCTACCCATGTTCGATTTCTTATATGCATGTAATACTTATCTGAACGTTGTTTGATGCTTACTGTACATATGCATACAAAATTGCTGGACACAGTCATTGACGTATTAACTACTAGAGACTTCATATTATCGTAGGGATGACATGTACTAGTGAGAAAAATCTAGCGTACGATTTATATTTTTCTATGTTTCTTTTACGTGCGTGTAATTACGCATTGATCGAGTTTTATTTCTTATTGGATTTCAGCGGGGACAAGACAATTTCGATTTTTGTCTTTTGAAAATGATTTTTCGGGATTCTGTGTTATTAGTTGATCATGCATTCAAAAATGAAAATTGAATGAGAGTTAAATGTTGATTGGATGCAGTATGCACCAATCAATCGTTTGGCTTTAGAGTTTTTAGTGCACCATTGACTAAGGACAAAATAGACTTGATGAATAATGCACTTTCGCGTGCCATTCTTTTAAATCAAAATTTATTCGCAGACATATTTAAAACTGACACAGTAAATTTCACACACAACTTTTGGCATAAATATTTGTTTAATCAATTGGTTACAATTATACACGTTTTCACGCAGAATATTATCTCTTCATAATTCTCTCCTTGATTGTAGTAGAGGGCGTACGAAACACCCTAACTTTTTTCAAAATCACAAGACGCGAAGTTCCACACGATGTTATGTCTATTCTGTCCTTATTCAATGTTGTACAGTGATTCTAGATAGAGCGGCGAATTTGTCAGTATTTAAGTATTTGAAAAGCAATGTGCAATGAACAAACAGCACTAATGTCTTCGTACGATTAGGTAGAAGAGAATGTCCCATCCTTACGGATCGTTTTCAGCACAAAGAATGCATTCGAGACGTAGACATGGTAAATAAAATTATGTAGAAAATATGACAGTGCAGTTGCATCTTTGCAATTACTTCATCTTTTGTAATTATATTCTATGTATTGTATCATTTTTTGGGAGGGATTTCGAATTTGATAATATGCAGCATTTGATGTATGTAAAATATCTTGTTGTTTTTAAATTTGATGGCAATCTAGTAATCATTTAGGTTAGATTCTTTGGTCTCATATGATGCAAATAAGATTACAGTTAAATATAATGATTTTGCATGTTTCTTGATATTTCTATTATATGTTATATTCCTTGGATATATTTAGGAGATAGAGGTGAAAGTTCTCAGTCTGGAGAATCACATTTTGGTAACCATGGCCGAGGCAGAGGACAAGGAGGACATCCTCCTTGGTTAAAAGGCAAACAAATAGGACTTTATTACAGAGATAAAGCCAGAGAAATGAAGCAAAAATCAACTAAAGTTATTAAGTTATCTGAACATGTTCAAGTACAAATTGAACGTGTGTTGTATAATTCTAAAGGATATTATGAAAAATTATACAACAATGCATATGCTGAAGATACATTGCATGGCACGTTGGAAAATAAATATATGCACATTCATGACTCTCAGTTTAAAAGGAAGTTCATGAACATGGTGTCTGGTAACTTACATGAAAATCTTGATAGAGCTTTGCTGGTTAAATCGAGATTAGAAAGGGATAGTGATTTAGATAAAATGTTATTTAATGAATTTAAAGTAAAGACAGCAACGCAAGAGTATCAGAGTATGGAAAAGATTAGATTAAAGTTACCGGCACATCATAAAAAAGTAGATATATTAAGATTACTTAAAACAAATCAAGTTATTGTAATAAGTGGAGAAACTGGTAAGTTTTGAAGTTTGGAAGTAAATAATTTAAGATTAAATGTATTTATATTATTATTATTTGTTTGATTAATATATGTATCCTTTAATGTTCATAAGATCTTTTGAATGATTTATTAGACACAGTTATTGTACAGATGTATTTTAGGTTGTGGAAAAACAACACAGGTTCCTCAGTTTATATTGGATGATGCAATAGAACATAGAGATGGTAGCGTTACACGAATTATTTGCACTCAACCTAGGAGAATATCAGCAATATCCGTTGCTGAAAGAGTTGCAGCTGAGAGAGCAGAAAGATTGGGTAAATCTGTTGGTTTTCACATTCGGCTTGAAAAGTACGTTATTTTTTATTTTTTCTATTTTTATTAACTTCACTGAAAGATGAAATATCATATTATCTGTGTTTTATTTATAGAGTATTACCAAGAGATAGAGGCAGTATACTGTTTTGTACTACTGGAATGTTGTTACAGTTTCTTCAAGGTGATCCAGCCTTAAAAGAATTTTCTCATATTATATTGGATGAAATTCACGAAAGGACTACCGAAAGTGATTTTATTCTTGCTTTATTGAAACTAATTATTTCTAAAGTACGTTTAATTCATTTCTGTATAAAATTGTATATTAATTTTTGTTACATAAAAAAATTTATTTTTTTTTTAGAGATCTGACTTGAAAGTCCTTTTAATGAGTGCAACAGTTAATCCTGAAAGTTTTTCCGAATATTACAATAACTGCCCAATGATTCATATTCCAGGCTTTACTTATCCAGTTACAGAGTATTATTTAGAGGATGTTCTATTCCTTACTGAGTAAGTTCGCACTTAATAAAAACAATGTAAATAAATGATAACATTACTTGAATTACAGATTTAAATTTCCACCGGCAACTGCATTGCCCCAAGATCATAGAAAACATATCAAAAAATATAAACAGGAACAACAAAAAAGAGATGAGTTTCAAGATATGATAGGTCCTTACGCACGAATACTTAAAATCGAGGCAAATATTCTTATTTTATGATGGTGTACATTACGTTTATTTTTTTCTTATTTTTCTCATTTATTATATTATAGCACAAATATACAAAAGAAGTAATTGATCAATTACGGAATCCTCACAGTGAAAAACTGTCTCTTGATCTTATAGAACAATTAATTAGGTATATTTGCAGAAAAAGAGATCCTGGAGCTATTTTAGTTTTCCTTCCTGGTATGATGGATATAATAAAACTAAATAAAATTATGTTGGAAAATGGACATTATCCACAAAGTAAGTGTATTTAATGTGAAATTTAATATAAAATTTTTGCTTCCATTACAATTTTAGAGTTTAAAAAAATTATTTTATATGTGCAGATCAATACGTTATTTATCCCCTTCATTCTCGTATGCCAACTATTGATCAAAAGCTCATATTTAAAGAACCATCCGAAGGAGTTCGGAAGATAATAATTGCAACTTCAATAGCCGAAACTTCTATAACTATTGAAGATGTAGTATATGTTATTGATTGTGGGAAAACGAAGTATGGTAAATTTGATCTTCAAAAAAATATCCAAACTTTGGAACCTGAATGGGTATCGTTAGCTAATGCTAGACAAAGAAAAGGCAGAGCCGGCAGGTAAAAGACATTTAGAATAAAATTTCAAAGAAGATTATTTTGTTATTTAAGATATTTATTACGAAAATGGTATTTAATAATGGTTATTATATTCTTTTTAGAGTAAAACCAGGAGTCTGTTATCATTTGTATTCAAAAGCTAGAGAAAAGACATTTGAATGTTTTCCATTACCTGAAATGTTAAGGACGCGTTTGGAGGAAGTTATTTTACAAATAAAAATTCTACAATTAGGAAAAGCTAAAACATTCTTAGAAAGTGTTATGTCTCCACCAAATATGAAAGCTATAGATTTGTCTTTAGATTTACTCCGGACACTTAACGCGTTGGATGACGAGGAACATTTGACTCCTTTAGGATATCATTTGGCGCAATTACCACTAGATCCACGAACAGGTATTATTTTTATGTACAATTTTTTATCAATAAGTTTTCATGTCGATCATTCTGTTTATTATCCTTATTAGGGAAAATGATTATATGGGCGGCATTATTTTCGTGTGTGGAGCCAGTTTTTGCAATTGCAGCGAGTCTTAATTTTAAAGATGCATTTTACTGCCCTCTTGGAAAAGAGGAAGAAGCACGAAAAAAGAAGCTCGAATTAAATATGAATCAATTTAGCGATCATATCGCGTTATCTGAGGCATTAACGAGATTCGAGGCCGCGTACAAAAGGAGCTACGCAAGCTCTTTTTGTAGAGATTATTTTCTTTCTTTTAATACGCTTAAACTTCTTTCCGAAATGAAAACTCAATTTGCCCAACATTTGTATCAAATGAAATTTATGAACTCGGAAAATCCCAGTGACGTTAATGCTAACAAGAACTCCAAAAACACAGTCTTAATAAAAGCAATAGTATGTGCTGGATTGTATCCTAATGTTGCTGTTATAAGGTATGTCTGATTTCTCGTATAATAATAATAGTTAATGAAGATCGAAATGTATATTAAATTTTGTTTTTATGTTTAGAAAAGTTACAAGAAATGGAACATTTGCATGGACTCCAGAAGATGGCTGCGTTGCTATACATCCGTCAAGTGTAAATGATAGAGTTAAGGAATATACTAGTCCATATATTACGTATTTTACAAAACAATTATCAACGGCAATATACTTGCATGATACTACGTGCGTTACTGCGCCAATTTTATTATTTGCTGCTCCGAATATGTCCATAAGTATGTACTTTCTATTGTTTATATAATTCATTTAATTCACGTATATTTGTTAATACTTTCAATTGTTCCAGGAAAAGAAAAAGGAAACTATTTTATCAGTTTACCAAGCAGTCAAAATTTTGCTTGTGATTGGCAAAGTGCACAGCTTATTCAGGTACAGAAATAAATATATCTATAAAATAAAGTTTGTACTTAATGAATGTGCCTAATTATCTATATTTTAATTGTAGAAATTACAAGAACAGTTTAATAACTTGTTAGAATATAAAATAACACATCCAGGAACAGTATGCTGGAATGGTTTTGAAGGCGATTTACTAAAGTAAGTTTTATGTTTAAATGTTTTGTTTATTTTTCATTTACTTTTGAAGAGCACTAACGTTATTTGTTAATCATAGTGCTATCATAAACCTGGTTTGTCAAAAAGATGAGGAAATGGGATTTTCTGAGTCTAATATTCAAAAATGTGAAGATAATATGTGTGATTGAATTTGACGATTTAATTTAATGAACTATGATAATCACAACTTTAAAAACATAACAAAATAGCTAGAGGAACTTGGATTCTTAATACTCTTTTCAATTATCGGAATTACGTAAATTTCGTAAGATATTCAAATAATTCATTATTTGTAGTTTTAGATATTTAATTATAATAAGTAAAAATATATGAAATTTGTAATATATATATATATATATACATACACACATATATAAATATTCAGAAAATAAAATTTCGGAGATAAAACTAAAAAAAACATCGAACCTATAAATTTAATTATCAAATTTACTCGACTCCTATAGAACAGCAACTCCATTATATTTTATTATGTTTTGAATATAGAAAATATAGTTAATACTTGAAGAATGTTATTTATTTTATGACACAAATCAAGGCCACTACCTTTGTATTAATATATAAAGAACGAACTTCCAAAGGTTGATCCATAGAGGAAATGCTGTAATCGAAAATATTCTACGCATCGTTACTTGATTAAAATTGATTGCTCTTAGAGAATGTCTCATTCACGTTTTTAAATATCTCTCTTTTTTGTTCAATCCAAATTTATAACGAAAGAAAGAGGGAAAAATTGCGCTTAAAATCATATCGCGCGTATCATTCCTACATATGTCTTTTTATGCAATTTAAATTTTTAAAAATCCAATTCAAACCCCTGACTGTAATCTGTGACAAGAAAAAAAAAAAAAAAAAAAAAAAAATCAATAAAATTTGACAAGAAATTAAAAATACTACTTAAGCAACGAGATCTGACCATTTAAATATACGCGCATTGTGTCGTCGAAGGAGTTTTCATCAGGCTGATCTGTATCTACAGGGAAAAGTAGGAAGCATCGTTTAACAAAAGAATCCTGAATTTCGCGAGTAAACTGTCCTCTGTTCTGGCTGTGCATTCGCGCGTCGCCAGTAAAAATGAGCCTGGGGTCTGGCACGAGCTGATAGCCACCGCGAAGAGAAGTTGTAAATAGGGGAAAGAGAAAGAGGAACGAGCGAAAAAGAGGGAGGGTGGATAAGGGGAGGGACGTTCTGGCAATACACGAGCGATGCACGTAGCGTCCAATTCAGTCTGCATCCGACCGCCGCGAGTGTCGTGTCGCGAAGCTGTGGTCGAACTTCGGGGGGGGCACGAGACTCCGATACGAGTCAGAATCGGTGCGAAAGTGCTCGTGGTACAACACCGCGGTTCCTTACTTATACTCATCGTTCCATACTCATCCTTATAACATGGTAAACGCCTTCCCTCTCGAGTCGTGTGGATCGTGATACTCGGAGAGGAAAGAACTGGTGAAAAATCGTAGCCGCGTATATTGGAGTTATATAGAGAGAAAGAAAAAGAGAGAGAGAGAGAGAGTGAGAAAGGGAGTACGGGTTACTGAACGATCGTATGAAGGTAGAAAGAGGAAGAGAGAGAAAATAAAAGAGGGACAGAGAGGGATTTTCGTCGCGACATATACATACGTATATACACGTGCAAAAGCAGAGAGACGTGAAAAACGCGCGTGCGCACCCGTGTATTACACATATACACGTATATACGAAAAAGAGTGAGAGGGAGAGAGAGAGAGAGAGAGAGAGAGAGAGAGAGAGAGAGAGAGAGAGAGAGAGATTGGGAGAGAGTGTATGTGTGTATGTGTCTGTGTGTAAGTGAGAGAGAGAGAGAGAAAGACAGAGATAACGACGACACGGCGCAGGAAGAGGCAAGAGAACCAGTGACATCGGGAGGGTCGGGTGTTCCTCGTGTAAAACCGCCACCGGAATATATATCGTGAGTGTGCGGCCGAAGATTCGCGGATAGAGGCCGGCCGATAGTGCGTTCCGGGGTTTAAGAAGGGAAAAAAAGGCAAAGGCTCTCCCGGGTGAAAAGCAATGCGGGTTCATTGACTGCGTGCCGCGCAATGGCCGCATGCTCGTGGCCGATGCACAGTGCATGTGTGACAGGAGCTACGAGGAGGACGACGCCGAGGACGACGAGGCCGAAGATACCGGCTACAGCCAACATCGAACTCGAGACCTACTGAAAGTTATTCCTCCTCTTCTTCTTCTTCCTCGGGTTTCTAGATGATCGAGAAACTCGCCTCGATCACACCAGCGATAACACCGAGGAACACTGGAATTTTTCGTGCTTTTTACGTGAGTAAAACTTTTTTAATACCGGCTTGCAAAACTGCATATTCAGCGTTATTTTTTCCCCCTTATTTTTGACTCGTTTCGCCGGAAAGTCGTAAAATCACAGATGACCAACCTCCCGCTGACACACGAATCTCGATAGACATATCCGAAGTCTCGACGAGACGGTATTTTCGAATTCTCGAATATCTTCGATTTACGATTGTCGAGTTGGGAATACTGACATCCGGTGATAAACTGTGTCTTTAATACTGGAACTATTGACAACTAAAATTGAGATGTATTAGAAAATAAAAAACATGGAGAGAACGTAATACTGAAATCTGAAAATATACTCTCTGAAATTTAAAAAAATTGAAGAAAGATTGATTGACTTGACTATTATAGTAGTTCTGATGTTAAGAATCCTAAGGTGTTGCAATGCATTATGACAGCAGCGTTAGACCCATTTAATTTTATCATTACTCTTATTTGACAATTTTAGAAGCTCAAAAAGTACTAAATTTCATACCGAATGCAATGTTACGAGCGCTAGAATTTATTTCAGCACCTTTAAGGCTATCATAAGATACCAAAGTTGTTAGCGTCCTAGGCACCTTCAACAAATATTTCTTGTTTATATTGAAAATCTGCTGATTTGTGCCACTTACATCATTTACCATTTCGACTGTTCAGTTTTCATTTTTCCTTTGGCTTTTTAAATGTAAGTTTCAAACGGGAGCGAACGTGTTCGAGAATATCAAGGGCGTAGGGTCATTCACTGCAACCGGTGTTTTCTCGTTCAAAGATTGTTCGTATGTCAATGCCCTATTGTAGAAAAATATCTTAGCATTTGCAATAAAAGAATTTATATGCAAGTTATATAAAATGTTTTCAAATTTCATTGATACGATTGTCGTGACTATATTGTTAAAGTTCGAAACTAATCTGAATATGTACAGCATGAATAGTTATTTCAAGTATAATAAATAAATATTAAAGATGCCCCTGACTGATTGTTGGAGTTAATACTTAATCATGATAATTATGAGTATTATATATATTATAGTAATGTACAGTAGTAATGAAATTTCAAAGTATTTTGTATAAAACACATGATATGCTTATAAATATTTTAGTAAGTGTTTGAATACTTACATGAGCTAGTATAAGCGAATCTTTTGAACTGTTTCAAAAAGTATCGTCGCGTAGTGAAAGATTCTACGCAAGATTCAACGAAACTGTAGATATTTCCTCATTAAAAATTAATTCTTTCACATTCGAGGACGAACAATCGAAGGACGCGTACGCCATGCTTGCAATGACCTTATCATCAATACGCTGACCTTACCTACCATAGGTATTATAAACATCATGTCTTCATAATAATACTTAATTGAGCATTTTGCCGCAGTGCAGATAATCTTCCTTCAAAAAATATCTGTTGTATAGCAAAAACACATTACATGTTATCAACACTATAACGATTCAGTGATTAATCGACCGCGGATGCCACTGGTGGCGCATGTGATTTTTAAATTAAAAGGATTAATACCGTAATTCTATTTGGCCATTTTGTTTGTTAGGTTCACGAATCTTTCTAACTTCGTATCTAATCAACGCATGGTAGATTTTGCCACGAGTCGGCAGCGTCTTATCTTTTCCATCTTGCGGTTTCTATAGGTACCGTTCCTTTCTCAAAATTCAGATGAACTAGTTAAACCAAAAATAACCACGAAAAAAGATTGGAGTGCAGATCATCTAAATATAGAGTTGTTATTCGTTCGTTTTCTACATCGAGAAAGTTCAATTTCCTTCACAAGAGTAGCTTATTATATATATATACGAATAATATTATCGTTTAGTTGACAAGAAGGGAAGATATAAATCGTGACACGTACCTTTAGTTGTGGTTAGTCAAATTAAACGTGCATTTCATTTTCGATGCTAGAAAACACCGATTAGGCTGGATGATTGTAGCGTTGAAAGGAACAACTTCGCTTTGGAACAAATCCAATCGGTTGACTCGTGTATTCTAATCAAGTAAATCAGGATAAGTACGTGTTTTTGCTCAGTTTACGTGTTCGATGTGGTAATTAACAAGGAACCGAAAAAACGATGTTATACACCGGCTGCTGGTCTGAAAGTTATGTTCGTGCCAAATTAGTTTTTTCCAGTGCAATGTCATTTGTCTATTCTTCTTTCATATATATGCGCGCACGTACCTTCTTTTCCTTTCTATCGCTTCATTTGTAAGTTCAATTACATAGCAAGTGACCTTATTCGTGGATTTCATATATAAGTCCTTTCTTAACGCTGCTAGAAGAGTATCTGAAACAATGTTTATTTTAATTAATAGTATTTAGAGTAAATAAGTGGCAGTAATCCGTAGAGATCTGTGGATTTAAGAAAGTAAAGTAAAATGATATAATCACATCTGTACAAATTCTATTATTCCTTTTTAGTAAAAGTTTTATATTTTTTTAAATATCGGAACTGTTTAATCGCCGTTTGTTTTTTTTATAGTATCAAAAATAATACATACTAAATTCAATCCTTTAAAGTATCATTTTTAGCCGTTTAATTGTCATATATATAGATGGTTATCGAAATTCAAACTTGTAATCTCGTTCGCAGCTATCGGTTGGCCGGTCGTGTTCATTGATCTTGCCTCGGTTTAGCAGACCGAGATCGTTGCACCCGTGACATGAAACGTACTACTCGCGATGAGATAATTGTTCTTAATCATCATATACATTCTCATTGATAGTACGCGTGACTAAATATATCTTGAGTTTTATTAAAAATTTCAAACGATAAGGTTTCCTCTGAAGAAAGGAACTGAGATTCATGCATTAAATCCAAGTCATTTATATGATATAAAAGATTTAAACTTACCACCCACGGCATCAACACCATACGAAAGCGATGAAAAGAGAGTAATGAATTCTAAATTCGTTTATCCGTTTCTCGATATTGTATTTTCGGCCGGTGTTCGCTCACGGCCGAATTAGAAGCCGTTACTTTCGGTACCGGCGCCATAACCTTTCTCAACGATCGTCGATTTCGACCAGCGCCGCTAGTAGGCGCGCCAACGGAATGAAACACCTCGTATTGGTGGATTTACAACAAAAAGGTTGGTTACAATTACTATTCTACGTGAATACATTTAATTAAGGTAATCTTTCAAATTCTTTTACGAACGCAGATATTACGTACAGAACATTTTGAACGTTCAGCTGACATTGTCGCTGTAATGCTAGATTACTTACGCTGCGCGAGCCATTGTATGTTCAATTGCTTCTGAAAATTCAAAAAATCGTATTTAACTGGTTCTTCGACGTGGATACTGCTCAACGTCACGGTGAAGCGGGTCGCGTGACTGCGTAGCAGATCGCTGCTAATTTCACGTTCGAAGGTTGACACGCATCGACGAAATCGCCGACCGGAAATGGGAAACGTTAGTCGACGGTTTCGCACGCAAGGCCACGAAAATGAAAACTGCACCGATCGATCGCGTCGTTCAAGTCCGCGCGGGATCAATTAGCAACGCCTGTCAGAATCGTCTCTGTCCAGAGCGGAGGAAGATGTCCACGATACACCAGGCGTCTCTCGTATACGCGTCACTCATCCGTGACTAATGTCCAACAGTTGGCGGGTGAAAATTGGCGCGATGTAAATATGGGACGAGTTCTCATGCGCGCGGCGTATATCCGCTCGATTTACTTCGTCAGCGTCAAACGCGTCGCACGTTGTGATCCGCTTCGGCCCGCCGTGTTCGTTTCTCGCCCCTGATCGCGCGGCTTCGAGCAGCTGACAAATCTCGCCGATAAATATCGCCGACGATCCACGGTGGTAATGGCGGCGAATTCAGATTATGCGGAGAATTCGGAAGTCGATCGTCGCAAACAAGTAGTGCTGTTGGTCCGCGTGTTGTTGAACAAAAATAGGTGACCTATATATGTCGCGTGTATATGCACCAAACGTGCACGCTGTATTTGTGCACATGTATTTTTGTTTCGCAAAATTCAAGTGGATTTTTTAAATGCCTCTTTGTCGTTGGGCCTCGGAAGCTGTAAACGTCGCGCTGCGAGGAAATGTTGGCAACATTTTTTATTTACGTTCCGCGCGGCCTGTTTGGAATAACTTCAGGCTGCAATAAGCCGCGCTCTCCGGCGCGAGGTTCTTTTTTCTTTCGCGTCTTAGTTTCGCGGTGCATGGTGAATCATGCTTTTTTCAGAACAATGAGGTACATGATTTTTCGTCTGTTTCGCAGATGTATGAAATGTTATTACTTGTACATATAAGAATGATCTTACTTTTTAGTTTGGGTTGAGCGTTTTTAAAATCGAAGGCGAGAAAGGGGTGGCGCTGCGGACGTCTAATTAATTTACTATACGATGTACAGAGGGTGCTTCGGAAGTCTCTTCTACTTCGTGAAAGTACGTTACTTTTTCGTAGTTGGTTTAGTGGAAAATATGAAAAAGTTCAGGCGAAAAGAGGAATTTCTTTGATTACGTGGTTTCTTGTGGTTTTAGAGAGAGAGAGAAAGAGAGTGAGAGGAAAAACGTGCGGTAGGCGAGGCTGAAAATAATCGAACTTTTTAAGACATACGTTATGGTTGTTCGGTCAGAAAGCTTCTATTTTCGTATGAAAAGTTCGCGCGTTTCGTTTTTGTGCCGACTCGTCGCTGGTAACGGATTATCCAGCGGACACGATTACCTTCGGTACTGTTAATAGACGATCATGAATGAACGCCAGCCGTTCTTTTGTACAAGTGCAGCATATTCCAGACATTCGTTGCGGGAATATCAGTTATACGGCCCGCCGGAATGCAAGTAGTAAGTAGTTTGAAACTTGTGGCGCGTACGCCATATTGGATTATTACGTGAAGCGCTTCTTAATTAGACACTTTTTTTCGCCGCAGGATTAGAAATTAACAAGTGACGCCCAATTCTTTCATTTAATTCTCGCAAATGTAGGAAATATCTCGCAGATATATAAGAATATAACGACGCAATTAAATTGAAGGTATTGGTAAGTTTAAAGACGAATTAACTTTTATAATTAATTCCTTTGGTTACTTTTAGATATTTTCGACTTTGAAAGGAAACAAATTCTTTACTCTCAAACTGAATGTTTATAAAGGTGAATCCTGCTGCGTGGCAGTGAAATTTGGTAGCTCGTTTTGACTGAAATATCGAGATATAACTGTTAGAACGATCACTTTTGACCTGATTTTTCTGCCTATATTGCCGCGCTATATTGATCTACAAATTTTATTGACATTACCTAGTTGTGTCATTTTATCTGTATTCTCTTTCGTCATATTTCTTCTGTTCTCTAGACGTTAGACTTAGCATTAATTTTAACTTGTGTTTAATTGGCAAATTTCTTGCAAATTCTATATTGATTGAAATATTTAACTTCGTCATGAGTTATGATTCTTTATAAAGAAACACATTCTTCTCGAATTTTCAAGTTTACGTCATGAGTTATGATTCTTTATAAAAAAACACATTCTTCTCGAATTTTCAAGTTTACATTGCGTAATACGTCGTGGAGAAATATAATTTGTTCATGATTAGAAAAAGCAACGCAGATTATTAATCAAATAGTCTGTGTTTGCTTATTTTGGGAACTATCTTCTGTCTCACTATATTCTTCGAAATTCGTATCATTCCTTAATACAAACCTTTGAAGCTTGCTTTTTGATAATGTTCCAAAGACTTTAAGAATGTACGATAACAACTTCAACACTCACCGTAACTTCGTTTCACAAACACAAATGCCTCGAACATATCACAAAAATCACTTTTCTTCTGTTCCAGGTAATCGGAGTCGATCTTCGTGGAACTCTCTCGCAAAACACTCCGTTTCCATTTGCAAGGATACTCTCAATTTATCAAGAGTCGCGAACAAACGCTTAGTTTCGCAACGTTCTCACTCGAATCTTGGCGAACTTTTCCATCGTTTTATCCAACACCGAATTCGACGATTCTACCAAAGACGCAAACTCTCTCGAAAAAGAAACCTCGTTGAATTGTCGTTCGAGAAACGATCGCTAAGTTGAACAAGTGCACTGATCCACTCGAAACAGTGCACAGTGCGGATCGGAAGAAGGAAAATCAGCTTCTTATCGATCAATTCGTCGTTCGATTTCGAAATTTTATTCGGACTTAATGCTCGCGACCAAGTGTCTAGACGGGAAATTGTCACGGAGTCGCGGGAATAGTTGGCGAAAATGTTCGTTTGCTGACGAGAGGCAGCAGCAAACCGATCGCGGTGGTGAATCGTCGTCGAAGATCGCGTTGGAAGACGTGTCGAGGTGGCGGGACTTAGGTGAGGATATTCCGTCGCGTTTGACGTCGTTGTCGTCGTCGTGGTGCGTTGTTCAGCCCGTGGTTCGGCAGTGAGAGAAAGATAAGAGAGAGAGGCGGGCAGCTATAACCGGCAACCACACGGTGGACATGATTATTTCAAAGGATCTGTTCCTCTTTGGCGACCAAGATTACCTGCGCCTTCCCAGCAACGAGAAGCGCCAGCAACGGGCAATGGGCCGACCGATCATCAATGCTCCCAGGTGAGTGATCCTTTCACCGATAATTTGGAGGCACGTTCACTTCTCCTCCGACGTTTTTCTAGATAATGGTTTAGAAACAATTGGAGAATGCCTTTTGTTAGATTGATGATCCTTTTGATTTCGGATGGAACGAATTTTTTATTGTAGAAGGATTAGAATTTTTATGATCACGACATTGTGATTGCGATAAGTGAAGTGCGACAGTGATCGGACTACGGAGTTATGGATTTTTAGAGACATTTTGTTATTTTTTTATTCCGCGCAATCTTTTGAGGAAAAAATCATTATTTAAACTTGTCAAATTTTATCGGAATAATGGTGAATTATATACTTAATAAGTAATAAATTTAATAAGTCAATGATTCTTGGAACGATATTTCAGCATATATTTTTTAATGATTCTTTAGTTATTAAATAGATCTTGGAAAATATCAGGCAGACTCGAATTGCTTCGAGCAAAGTAACATTTCTCCAGTTTGAGAAAGAATGGTTCTTAGGCTTTTATATATTTATTTTAAAAACTGTGGAATATTCGATTCATTAGATTTAAATTAACATTAGATATAATTTAGATGTTAAACAAGATAAAGAAAGTATGTAGAACAAAGACAGTGAGAGGATGTCTATTTCACTTCTCATGGAAGGAAAGGATCATTATATTTACAAAATTCTTAATTTAGACGCGATTTAGATAGGATCGACTAATTTTAATTACCTGTCCGCAATTATTCTTTAACACGAAAGTCGACGTAGCCTCGATATTTCTCTTGTTCAATCAAAGTTTCTGAATTATTCTCGATCTTTTCACAAACAAAATCCGAAGTTGCTGTAATATAGAAATAACGCTAATAAATGCAAAATAGTCAAAATTCAATGTTCTTAATTGATGCAAAATTTCTTAGGACAGCGCAATGAAAAATACAATTTTTCATAGATGAACTCTCTTCTCAAAAATAATTTAAAAGGAAATGACACTCGCTCATTTGCTAAAGTTTATCAAGAAAACCAAATTAATCTATAAATTGGTGTAATATTTTTATTTTAGTGCCTTTAGTTAATAATTTTGTAACTGATGTTCAGTTAAACATTGATCGAACAAGAAAAGAAAGGAAAAGGAAAGACTGGCCAAAATAGAAAGCCAAAGAAATGGAAAGGATGAAAAGGGAAATATCGATTACCGTTTTATACATGCACGCTCGCTAATAAATTCCTTATCACGACTGATACAGTCGATGATCTCTTTCGAAAGAAGAGACGATCACCTCTTATCTATTCGCGTCGTAAAAAAATATATCATCGGCTAATACGTCGGCGAATCTCGGCGTGCAATAAAAAATGTCGAGCACTGACAAAACCATGTCTCGTCTCGTCTCGCGACCTTCCGTCGTGTCATCAAGCTTCTCCATGATCTCGCCTCTTTTCTTTCTTCCATTCATTGTACTTTCGAATTTATCTCTCGTCATATACGTACATGCGAAGCATACCGAGAAAGAACACGATAAGTCGAGACATTTTTCATTCTTTGCGATAGAGCAGCAATTAAAATTCAATATATTGGTCAATTAATACAATGTCACCAAAATTTATTTGATTTTGACATTGATTTTGACGCACGTATATATTTTTCTCTCTGTAATTATGAATATTGTTTATCATGCAGCCAAGCAGATTTTTAAATCTAGATTTCTATCTGGGTTTTAAACCTAGGGTAGATTAAATCTGGGTTTTTAAGTCTCATGAAATTATAAAATCTGAAACAGTGGCGAATGAAGTATCAAACGAATATTTTTACAATTACAATAAATTAATTGATAAAGAAATTGCAAATGAAATGTTGCATTAATATAGCATCGATCGTTAATGGATTAAAATTTTCGTTAATTATGTCTTTGGTACTCGCTAGGTGTTTTCTTTTTTTTATTTTTAGCTCTGTGTCTGCGTACATTATATTAAAATATAATAAAATCGCACTGAAGTAAGAAAAAAATCAGCAAAAATGAACTTATCATGTTTTTCCCCTGTGATGTTCACGTATGCAAGTATTATACATACATACTGCTTCTCTATCAAAAGAGGAAAAGAACTCTCTCCACTTCAGGCACACTCTACTTCCTTTTGTATCTTTTTTTAGCTACGATACTAAATGTCTTTGTCTCTCTTTTTCCACAAAATTTATTTATAACGATACCGTTGTTTGTCGTGTCGACGCTGCTTTCTTGTTTGGGCACGTGTTTGTTTGATAGTGCTTTTGTTCCGCTGTTCGATCAACAGTTTTGTTAATACCACGTAAAGCCAGATTGGCGTTCAAGATATTGGAACACTTGTTCCTTGTTTCCTCTGTTTTTTTTTTTGTTTTTCTTTTTGACAAATTTGTAATTCGTCATTTCGTTGGATTTTAATTGTTTAACTGTCTCGTTACGATAGAAACCACAACCGAATGAAAACAACATAAAGCAATGCTAAAGAATGGTCTGTAAAATGATACTTTTACGAAGCAAAGGCACAGAGAATAATTTAATCTCCTCGGTACCCAAGAGACCAACACACCGCGGTTTTTCAAACACTTTGATGTTCCATTGTTTTTTTCAATGTTACGTCTTGTTACCCTTGAATTTTCATATTTAAATCTTCTCAACTTCAAAAGATCTTTCAACAGAGAATTAAACTGAGAAGTCACGTGCGTATCGATCGAGATTTCTCCATATCTATTTCGTTCAAACAATATTACCGTGTCGAGAAAGAACACACCAGTCAAACACGTGACGCATGAATTTTTGCAGACTTATTTAAAAGATTGTATACCCACCGAGAATTACCCACGTCGGATAAAGATCGCTCTAAAGTTTACACTTCAAGGGTATCCTAAGCTCGTTTACACAGTAAGGGTTAATGGATCCAACAAGATTAATGGTATTCCAACAATTGCAAAGAAACGTTTTCGGATGGAAGGCGGACGTGAGATTGGACGTGAATTTTAGTTACGATTCTGATGCGGTTTCTGTAGGTTCCTGTAAGGATTCCGGAGCTTTGCGTGGGGATTCTCTAGATTTTAGGGATTCTACGGGTTTTCGGCGGGGACTTTGGAATTCTTAGTGATTCTGTGATCGCTCTCCAGCGACTCGGCCTCTCCTCTGTAAATCTCCCATAGGCATTCCGCAATTTCCATCCGCGAATCTTGGAATTCTTAACTTAACTGTCTCCCGATACGGTGTTCAGACAGTCCTGCGATCGATTTCATATTCCATTTCGTATTCTTCGAGTTTTAGAAGTTGTTCGATGTTTCTGTACGTGTTTTGGAATTTTCAGAGAGTTCGAAAGCTTCGACTAGAGAGTTTCTGACTATTCTTTCCTGAGATGCTCGAATTTTTAAATTTTGCACGACTCTCTAATACTCTGCTCTTTCACAAAAGAAATTCCTGATGATTCTTTTCGAGGATTTGCCATTCTTGAAATTCTTTGTACAGTTTTGCGAACTGGCGCCAACCTTTCCTTATTTTACGATTCTTGTCTCGCGAATTTTCACAAACTATAGCAAAAGTATCGAAGCGAAATTAAATTACTCGTTACAATATTACACAGAATCCCATGCACGGATTTCGAAAGTAGTCGATACCTCGAAACACTTTCGAAACAGAGATCCAGAAAGCGAGGAGCGGTCTCCCTTGGATTTATCGTTTCGACGAACTTGCGGCTTTACGCGTATCCGGCTTGCGGATCGTGACTTTCTTTTTCTCTGCCGAAACTTCCCCTCGGCACAGGTGGAATCGGTAATTGAGGGGTCCGTTTTCAAAACCTGATGAAAAGCCCGCGATTTCACTCGGCCGGTCGCCGGATGAAGCCAATTGGATTCGATGACTAATTCGACGAGGAGAAACCGCTACGAATTGGTACGAGAGACGGTGTGAAATTCGCATGGAAGTTACGTAGTCGCTGAATAAAGACGGATGAATTACGCATGGAATTTCTATGGGGTGAAAGGGACATTAAAAGGACATCAAAGGACCGTTACGCAAGTCTCTGGGCGAGGCAGAGCATTTTCGAGCATTATCTCAACTTGCTCTGTAGGAGGCAATTTCGTATTTTCAAGAAATGTAGTAAACGTCAGCCAAGCTTCACATTCACATACTCTTTTAAATATCAACAGACTTTGTAATTTTTCTGAATATTGAAAAAATTCGCGGTCTAGCAATCCGTGAAAACGCGGTCTAGCAATCACTCTTGGAAAATTCGTGCGACGAGAGATTCTTTAGTCTTGGCGCCAAGTATGAGTTGATACAACGTCTCTAGCGAGTTATAAATAAAAAAAAGAGAAGTAGTCGAAGACACGAGACGTTATCGGTGCGAACCGACGGGACTATGCGGTCCTTGGTCTCTCTGATTTTTTTCGAGGAAGACGTTCGTAAATCAAGCTTTGTTTCAGTGTGAAAACCACTGATAACTTTCGTTTTGTTTGTCGCGGTTATTATCAGCAGCGCTGCCAGTTAACAACCGAACTTTTCGCGAGACGTTGTTCGCCTGCGGTTAAGTTTTATTTTTCGTTTCGTCGGTTTGGAACGACGAAGTTAATTAGGTTTGAAGTTAATTCTAGCTGTGTTCCGATAGATTTCGATTTTTATTCGATCTCATTCGTAGGAAATGGACGAAGTCGTATCGTAATTTCAATCGTATCTTAAGTTCCTCAAAATTACACATTTACAATCATCTGCGGCTACCTAATTCTTTCTTTTCAAGAATATACAACTTGCTTCTGCTAAAAGAATCTTATTGTCACGTCAATTCTTTACAACTTTACGTCGTATAGCCCAAGAGATTCTCAATTTCTTATTAACAGAGGATCGCAACGATTTCTTTCGCGGCAAAACTCGAATTTCTCAGTCAATCAGAAGCAAAATTTCAATTCACAAATACCAAAACGCCGTTGGAAAACGCGAGAAAGAACCTTTTAATCTGCTTCGATAACAAACTCGTTCCTCCGATTGGCTCTGTCTTAGCTTAGCTTC